CTAATTCTATTCCTTTTAGGGCTAGGGGTTGGGTTTTAGGGGTGAGGGCCCACGGACCATGGTGGGCCTTTTCCCTAATTAATTATTGTAATTTAATTCTTTCTTTGGATAATTGGTTAAATGATTAATTGGTTTTAGGGGGTCGTAACACGGGGTGTTACATTAACTCCTAAAATTGTTGAAGCCCTAGTATGTGCACAAGATTGGTTGAGGGCACCCAATCATCCAATCTCTGTTGAGGAAAACTTGGATGATGTTGAAAGATTAGAGAAGGGTACTGTTTTTTTTTCTAACTTTCTAGGTTTCAACTTTATAAATTATTAATTGTTACCTTTTCTAAACTCTTTTTTGTTTTTCCTTTTTGTGCAGAATTGTCCACTGGAGCTGCTGGTTCTTTACCAAGTACTGTTGGAACACTCCCAACAATTGATGTAATACTTTTATATAACATTGCTTTCTGACTTTCTGTTTAGTTTGATTGATAAATGTGTGGACTCTTTGAGGCAACTCAGGTAAGATTCCAGAACTGCTAATTGCTAAGTGGCTTGGTAACTTTTTTATAAATGTTGCTGCCCTTACTCAGTTACATCTCTGGTATTCTGGAATTCTGGTATATCACTTCCCTTCCTCTCATATTCTCATTTCTGTTTAGTTATGGACTTATGGCTATGATGATGCTTCCACCATTTGTCTAAATTAAAAGGACTTTGGGTGTTTGGTATGTTGCTCTGAGACAAAACTCATGAAGCAATTTGCCCCCAACTCTAAAATGATATGAAAAAAAGCAATCTGAGCCTTTCTTATTAATTATTATTACTTCTCTACTTCTCTTTGTCTTTATTGGCTTTAAAGTTTAAATCCTTTAATGGTTTTATAATTGAGCAGGAAGATGAGGAATGGATGAATGCTGATTGCTAAAGGAGTGAAGGCTGATTGGTGAATGGTGACTAATGCTGATTGCTGACTGCTGACTTGCTGAGTACTTTAGTAATTAGTACTTAGTAGTTTAGTGTTGTTTGAGAATTGTTGATTTTCTCATTTTGTGAACTTCATTTTTGCTTTTTGAATTTTGAACACCAGTTGAAAACTGCAATATGTAATTATGTATCTAAATGCCTACATAGCTTTGGTAATTTAGTTTAGGGTTATTAAGTTTGAACATTTTTACAGTTTTTTTTTTTTGGTATGTTTTATATTAATCCGACTTCAAACCGAAATCCGACCCCCACCCGACCGTATCCGAACATGGGAAATCCGATAGGATTTCCCTCTTAATTCAAACGGATTGGGGTAGTTTTCCCCAATCCGAAATCCGAGCGGATGAACGGTTTTCTAAACCAATCCGCCCGAACCCGTCCGATGCACAGCCCTATACTCAGCGCCAACTAAGTGTTTTGCACATAGCTACACCTAGCAATCACGAGTGTTTTGCACACAGCTACACTCACTAGAGTATTTTGCACACAGCTATACTCTTCTAACAATTACAAATATAAAGGTAATTGTATCTCTCTCCAACTATTTTTTAGACAATTCAGACAAAGTCTCTAAGAATATTTGAGCACTTGCACTAATTATCTCGTGTGTATTCACGTCTCCTTTTTGTATTCACCTCTATATTTGTTTGTCTTCAAGTCTTCATGGCATTTTATAGGCAATCAAATATATCCGTTGGAGTGGGATAATTTGATATTTGAAATTTGAATCTTCATAGCCTGATATTGTTGACAATAGTAAATCCTCAATTTTGATTTGATTGTCAACTTGCCTGACAAAAAAATATTTTATCTCAACTTGATTTTCAAGTTGTTTCTTAAAATATTATTTTTGTTGTCAATTTGAATTTCCAACGAATCTTTGAAATAAATTCTTCTGATAGAATTTATTTCTAGGATAAGTTTTTATATTCATGTCTTCATAAATATTTTTCCGTTCTGATCAAATATCTTCAGGCAATTTTGGATTCTTGTGGCATGTGGGCTGATCCAAAATAAATTCCTTCGAATTTATTCATTTTCTGAGCATCTTGCTTCTTTGCCACATTGTGCTCCTTTGACTTTGGCACTTCTTGCTTGTTTGACTTGAACCTTGTGCTTCTCTGATTTAGTCACATTGTGCTCCTTTGGATACATATCGTGCTTGTTCACATTGTGCTCCTTTGGACACATCGTGCTCGTGCTTGTTCACATTGTGCTCCTTTGGACACATCGTGCTCCTTCAGACATTGTGCTCCTTTTCAAACATTGTGCTTGTCCGCATCGTGCTCCTTTAAGAACATTGTGCTTGTCTAAATTCTTGACTTGTAAAAAAATATGTCTTTGGGGGGAATCAATCTCAAGTATGATCGTTTTGATTAAGGACTTCTACCATTTCACCGTTAGGCTCATCCAGTCATTTCTTGCAACGTCATTCCTTTATGCTTCTTTCTCGGATGAATACTTGTACGACCAAAATTAATTTCCCAAATTAATTTTGTTCTTCATGTGGTAGATTTTCTTTGACTCGATATTCTGATTTATGATACTTATACTAGAGACCTAAAAACTAAGGGGATCTATAGTACATTTGGCTCATCAAAACTTACAAAAAATATTCCTATCACATGATCAACAACCTTTTCGACAATTTGAGTGCTCAAGTGAGCTATGGTTTCGCCAACTTTGATCAAAGGGTAGCAGTCATGGAACAAAGGATGGGGATTGAGAATGTACAGAGATGGACTCCCTATGGTTGGGATCCGAACTACATGCCGCCAGGTGATTCCTCGGGAGGCTTTAATCAAGGTAACTAGTTAAGCTTTTAAGTTTAGTTATAGATTCGTTGGTGCAGTTGTTTAGATTTTAGATAAGTTAGATATGAACTCAGAGATTCCTAAATCTTTCCCAAGAGTTTCAACAGAAAATTCCAACCTTTTGGTTATATCACTTTTTCTTTTCGAGAACTTGATCCACCCGTTTCTTCTAAGTTTCGGGACAAAACTTCTTTTAAGGGGGATAGAGTGTAACAACCCAAAATTTCATTTTATAAATCCGGTATTAAAGCTTGTGTTGATGCGTGTATCATCCTACGAGTCGATAATCTGATTTTAAAGCTAGTTGTGAGGGCTATATCTATGTATTCCCAAGTCTCAAAATGATTTTCTTATATCTATACTTATTGTACTCAACCCGTGAGAGTGGGTTACTTAAAATTATTCGCTAACGGTTGCTACACCATATGTTTTTCAGGACAGACTAGTTGATTCGAGAGCACGCTAGACGGAGCCGTGGTTCCTAGCCTTAGATAGTGTTAGCTTTAGTTTGGACGGCTTGTGAGCCATTTTGTTATTTGAATGATGTTTATGGATTATGATTAGTTAGTTAGTAGCCTGTGCATCTAAGTTCTTAGCTTAGATGTGGCATAGCACCCCCAACTACTATGTTTAGCTTATGCTTATTTTGATATTAATGATAGATTTATTCATATTTCTTAAGCTTTAAATGTTTAAAATAAGACTGAAAATCGGGGGTGTTACAGGTCCTATGTGGTATATGCAGAATGACAATGACTAAACTATCTATTTTCCACACACACACACACACGCACACACTTATTTTATAGGGTTGAGTGGTTTATACTTAGCATGTTTATGCTAGCGGGTTGTTTTCCTTGTGTTTTAAAACCCTTTTCAAGTTTGATATGATGTGTGCTGAGAACGCTCTTAGAGGTGGATTTGATAGATGTAGAACCTCTTTTTCTTCTAGTTTGCTAGTTATACTTAATCCCTATTCCTTTGCCTTGTTTTAATGATAAGGAGTGCCCTGAGATTTGTGATTGTAGTTTGATGTAGCTATTGACTATTTTTTGGTTTTGTATGGTGCGTGGATACCTGGGCCTATGAACCCATAGTCAAAATCTAATTACAATTTATTCCTAACACGATCACAACATACTTAAGAGGAGGCTACGGTATTTATTTCAACACTGCCATTATGATGGGATCAGACACTTAATGTAGTTTCTGCCATTATTGAGAGTCCGTTACACTAAGCAATGAGCCATTGTACATGTTAGTATAAAAAATAATATACCCTATGATAGACCGAAGACATGTTCAACTTTGTACTCAAATTCAGCAATTCAACTACTTGTTTACTGATATTTTTTCCATAATCATTCTTCAGTAACATCATTACCGTCAAGTCTTATGTGAGAGCAGAAAGAGTCCGCTATGTGAGTAAAAATATGTTTTGCACGAGTAAACTAATCTTAAAGTAAAACCCAATAAGTTGATATCAAAATGCTACTTGAATGCATGTTTCAAATTTTAGCTGGTGGGTGCCAATCAACTAATGCAATGAGTTATTTATCAAACATCAATTTTAGCTTATTGACAAATTCATATAGGTAAAGTCAGACAAATCAGTTAAAAATTAGTTAATTGATTATTTACCAAACACCCCTTACTTCATTAGTTATTTGTGGATAGATAGACATCACTGAGAGAGTTAATAAAATAACGCTGTTTGCATGTGCTTAGTTCACGGATTTAGTAGCTAGACAATATTTCAGAGAAGAGATCAATGTTCGAAATTCGACGAGGTAGTGTAGGGATTATGTCCAAAGTGGACAATTCCCTTGTGCGCACCGACATTTGGCCTTGTTTGCTGAGCCATTGCGTTATTGTGATTTATATCCTCCTAAATATTCTATCTAGTCGAAATGTGAAGGCCCTGGAGTTAGAAATTTAACATTTTTGGAGAACAGTTAATAAAATATAACGTTAATATGAGCAAATTCATACATAACATTAAAAAAAGTGTATATATCTAACACCTAACATTGTAATATGTGGAAAATAATTAATATTTTGAAAAAAAAAAAAGAAAGATAAAGAGAAGAGAGCTTGAAAGTGAAAAAGTGGAGAGTTAAGGGGTGAATAAGTAAATAAAGTGGTTTAAAGCCAATGCCAAAATTGCTGTTTCGGGCATCAAAGCTGTAAATGCGGAAAGCTTCGTTCTAAAGCCCATTTCACATTTTCACTCTTTCTCTGCTTCAATCTCTCATTCACTCTGATCAAATCGACACAATAAGCTCAGGGGTCCCCCTTCGTTGATCCAGCTCACTTCCTCTGTAATTTACTGTTTTTGTTTTTTCTGCGCGCGCTACTGTACAGATACGCATATAATAATCGTATATAGCAGCATTTGATCGGGGGAATTTCAGTACCAGATGAGTTTGGGAAATATCGCCGATGAGAGTTTAGGGTTTTGATTGGAGGAAGGGGTTTGAGAAAATTTGTAGAGGAACAGAACAAAATTCGAAGCGCTGGGTGCGAATCAGTCTCGGCCTATACCGTCTTCGGCCGGGCTGGCCGGTGGTTCGGGTCCAAGACCATGGTCTTTCCTCCGCCCTAGTCCACCTAAGCCTTACTCGCTCCAATACCTCCCCCAAATGGATCACGTCAACCGCCACACCTCCGCCCCAGACCAACAGAATCAGCCGCCTCCTCCTCCGCCTTCTTCTTCTTCTTCTTCGTCTTCTTCTACTTCTTCTTCTTCTTCTCCGTCTGAATTGCCGGCGCCGTCCACCGTCCCTCATCATGCTTTGGAAGAGCAGGAGTACTTGGCCCGGTATATGGTGGTTAAGCATTCCTGGCGCGGGAAATACAAGAGGATCTTGTGCATATCTAATTACACTCTTATTACTCTGGATCCCGGGACATTGTCCGTGACGAATTCTTATGATGTCGGGACTGATTTTGACGGCGCGCAGCCTATACTTGGCAGGGATGATAATTCGAATGAGTTCAATATAAGTGCGAGGACTGATGGTCGTGGGAAATTCAAGGCTTTCAAATTTTCGTCCGTGTATAGGGCGAGCATTTTGACTGAGCTGCATAGGATTAGATGGAATAGGCTTGGTACGATTGGAGAGTTTCCTGTTTTGCATTTAAGGCGAAGAACTTCTCAGTGGGTTCCGTATGTAAGTTTTCTTTTCTTTAGCCTCTTTATCTTTTTTTTATGGTTTTAATCTAGAGCATAGCCAAACACATGCATAAAAGGACAAATTCGTTATATATTGCTGTGTACAGAGGACAAATATTGTCTTGAAGTAAGTGATAGTCATAAAAGAAGGAACAGCTAAAGCAGTAGATCAAATTTCTTAGTTCTCTTTGACAAATAAGATGCAAAACATGCCAATTCGTTGAAAATAACATGTAGGTGGTTACACTTTCTATCTGAAGTATTATGCATTTCTATTCTTTGATAGGGAGTTATATTTGGTTTTCTTATATTCAGAGTTCCAGAATACATAGTTTAGCTGGTGTAGAGAATGGGCGTTACAGTGGCTCAATAGCTGTATCTTTCTAGAGGGATGTATGGCATTTGGATTTCTGTTGGTCTATAGGCATCATCTGGCATTGTTGAACCCCTTTCTAAGGGGTAGTCTAAAAAATCCTTTGACTTGATTGCCCATTCTCAATGCTATTTACTAGGGGTAAAGAATGATAAAAAGATAGGGAAAACTCCAGGGCTATTCAATCTTCAAGGAACTCATTGCAGACCTTTTCTTCAAGGTCATAACTGTCACTAAACCACTATTTTGTAGTTTCCTCAGCACTCAGCAGAATATTTTCATTTTGCTGCATTCTTGTCTTTGCATTGTTCTCCTGCTCTCATTCATTCCTTCATTCTATTGGTTGAATAAGGTAGTCTAATGATGAATTTGCTTTGTGCAGAAACTGAAAATTACATATGTAGGAGTTGAAATTACTGAATTAGAATCAGGAGATCTTCGCTGGTGCCTGGACTTTAGAGATATGGGTTCTCCTGCGATCATTCTTCTCTCTGATGTTTTTGGGAAGAAAAATGCTGAACCTGGAGGTTTTGTTCTTTGTCCATTGTATGGAAGAAAATCTAAAGCTTTCCAGGCAGCTTCTGGGACTTCAAATGCTGCTATAACAGCAAATATTGTATGCAAAACCTTATGTTCAATGGCAGTTACATTATCTTTTTTTCATAGTATTCCACACCTTGTATTTGGTCTAAAGTGCTATTCACAAAGTTTTAAGTGTTTATTGTGCAGACTAAATCTGCTAAGTCTATGGTTGGAATTTCATTATCTGTGGACAGTTCTCAATCACTAACTCTATCAGAGTATATAAAGAGAAGGGGTAGGTTTTTGGAGAGATTTCCACACTTCTTTTCCCTCCAAGTTTTGTCCTATAGTTTTCTTCATTCAACTGATTATTTATGCAATAGTTTACACTTCCAATGCATGTGAAATGCAGCAAAAGAGGCTGTTGGAGCAGAAGAAACTCCTCTTGGAGCTTGGTCAGTGATAAGGCTGCGCACTAGTGCTCATGGGACTGAAAATAGTCATGGGGCCAGTTTGGTGGTTGGCCCTAAAGGAGGCCTTGGGGAACATGGTGATGCTGTATCTCGTCAACTTGTTCTCACAAAGGTCTCCCTTGTTGAAAGGCGGCCTGAGAACTATGAAGTAAGCTGGTGCCCTATTTTTTGGTTTCAAATAATGCTGCTTAAATGTAGTCTATATAATATGGTTTATATTTATTTGATAAGCATGCATTGATTCATATTTCATTGTACATGATAAACTAGAATATCAAACAAGATCAAGGCAAGTTATGAAAGATCAATTGGTTTTTGCTTCAAAAACTTCTGCTTAATTCTCTAATTAGACATTAATGCAATAATGATTCTATGCTTCATTTTTATTTGGGATAAGGGTCAAATAGGCACTTCAACTATAGGCCAAAGTGCAATTAGCTCCTTAAACTAAAAAAGCTTCAATTAGACACTTAAACTTCTCATTTTTATGCAATTACGTTAATTAACGGGTTACCTCTAGGTAACTGGTAATTTTTTTTTTTTAAATTTAAAAAATTAATTAAAATTAAAAACATATTTTTAATTCAAATAAAGTAATAAAGTAATTAAATTAAAAAAAAAAACCTCTAGGATGGCTTCCCCGTCGTCCAGAAGCCGGCAATCTGTGGTTTTTTTTAAAAGTTATATTAAAAAAAAAAAATCAATTTTACCTCTTATTACATGAGTTTACCTGCAAAATGAACTAATTGCATAAATTTAAGAAGTTATTGGTTAAATTGCATAGAAATGAAGAGATGTAGTGTCTAGTTGGAGTTTTTCTTAGTTTAGGGGGTTAATTGCACTTTGGCCTATAGTTGAAGGGTCTATTTGACCCTTATCCCTTTCTATTTTTACTCTTCAAGTTACATATGGAAGCAAGGCAGTTCTGCTTGTATTCCTGCAGGACCACCACTGTTTTTCTGATCTTAGTTCGCAAAGGAATTTCTACCTTTTGTTCCTTATGAGATGGTTTGTGTCTGGTCTTCCACTTTGCTCAGACTTCTTAAATTAATAATTTTGTTCATAGTTTTGATGTAATGTGTATGACTTAACTAAATGTCGAAATTTTATCGCTGAAAGGGAGCTAAAGGCGACATATTATAAGATAGATGCAGCAAATCTGCATGCATTTGGCTTAGGTAGAGTGCTGACATAGAAGATCTATGGGAAGGCCTAGAATCCACTGACCTGAAAAGCAAAATGAAAAAGGAGGAAAAAGTTGCAGGTTTTCTGACTAGAATTTGTTTTGTTTTATATACTCCGTAATATAAAACTAAGGTACTACAGATTCATCTAAGTGTTACTGGATTTACAGAATAGGCCATGGACTTAGAATTTCACTATGATGTTTGCGTTGATTAATGCATTAATATAGTTATGAGTGGTGCATAGCTGACAAGTCTTTTTTGGCATTTATGTATAACACAAAAAAAATTATTAAATGCTTGCAGGCTGTAATTGTTCGCCCTTTGTCTGCTGTTAGTGCACTTGTTCGATTTGCGGAGGAGCCCCAGATGTTTGCCATTGAATTCAATGATGGATGCCCTATTCATGTATGCCCATTTGGCTTTTGAAAGATAAATATTTTTCTTTTACATATTAACTTTGACTTTTACTTTGTCATTACTGTTTCAGATCTATGCTAGCACATCTCGTGATAGCTTACTCGCAGCAGTTCGTGATGTGTTGCAAACAGAAGTAGGTATCTCTGCTCCTTCTTGGTTATTACTTGGTCTCTTTTTTTGGCAAGGTGGATAAAGATCCAACTTTTTTTGTTTCCATTCTCTTAAATATATTTCTACTTGAGAAAGTATGCATAGACAGATACTACATTGCAATAGAGTCAGTAGTACTCAATATATATATATATATATATATATATATATATATATATATATATATATATATATATTGTTGAATTTGGAAGATGGAATGGCCTGGCGGGTGGAGAATAATACCACCCGCCAGTTAGGCGGAAGCAATATGAAGAATCAAGACTAGGAAATGAATATAAAACTGAAATTATATTGGTATTCTCTCTGTTTCTAATACAGAAACACAGTACATATATATACACAAATACATAACTGTAAGTAACTACCCATAACTACCCATAACTGACACCTATTCATAAACAGACACAACCCAATAGATAAACCTAACTCTTTAGTTTTCAACACTCCCCCTCAAGCTAGAACATCTAGAAGTTCCAAGCTTGGATTAAAACATACACTCTACATTACAAATGAAGATTAAAAGGAGCTAGAGAATAACAATGTTGGATGGCTTCGGAGGAACAATGCTATAAACAACCCTTGGGAATGAAGGCACCAGGGCGAAGCTTGTCACAAACAACCTTGGGAATGAAGTCACCAAGGGCGAAGATTAACACGAACACCCTCACAGCAACATAAGCATTCTAGGATTTGCCAATCAACAATCTCCATCAAGAATGGCAGAACAACCAAATCATGAGCAGCAAAGGGGATGTAGTAGAGCCCATAGATTGTTGTATGAATACCGAGAAAACCACATGATTGTTGTTTATACCTCTTATAGGATAAGTGAATAACAAAAGAAGCTTCCGGAAATAAACAACGTGCCAAACATGAAAACCCTAGGGACTAAGTATGGTATACCGAATATAAAGAAACAAATACGGTTATACCAAAAACACCCCGGAAAGAGGTTTGGCAACAAACCCAAAAAGCCTTCAAACTTTCACTAAAAGGTCCAAGGGCAAAACAACAATCTGGAATTTTCACCGGAGAATACATCACAAGGAAAAATACACCACAGCCAAATCTACGCAGATGGGGTTGCGAGGTACGGACAGAGGTTTCTGGAGAATTTCGTCGGAAAATCACGCCGGAGGTGGGCTCACGCGCCAGCGCGTGAGGGAAGGTCGCCGGCGCGATTCCGAGAGTGACTGTGGTTGTAGATTTTGAAGCAAACCACCATAGATACGTCGGAATTCAAGAGGCAGTCTCAGGGCTACTGTTTATGCCGGAAAATGCCCTAGGAAAGTGGCTGTGATACCATGTTGAATTTGGAAGATGGAATGGCCTGGCGGGTGGAGAATAATACCACCCGCCAGTTAGGCGGAAGCAATATGAAGAATCAAGACTAGGAAATGAATATAAAACTGAAATTATATTGGTATTCTCTCTGTTTCTAATACAGAAACACAGTACATATATATGCACAAATACATAACTGTAAGTAACTACTCATAACTGACACCTATACATAAACAGACACAACCCTATAGATAAACCTAACTCTTTAGTTTTCAACATATATATATATATATATATATATATATATATATATATATATATATATATATATATATATATATATATATATATTATATTTCTACTTGGACACACATGTTTGCGCACTTGTTGGTTCCTGCCATCACTTTTTCTGAACCGGTTAGTTACTCTTGTACCTTGTAATTTGTAAATTCATTATTCAGTCACATATTATTTGCTCTCTGCAGGGCCAATCTGCAGTACCTGTATTGCCACGGCTAACCATGCCTGGTCATCGAATTGATCCACCTTGTGGCAGAGTTCACTTACAATATCCTGCTACACATCGCTATGTTGCTGACCTGGAAACTGCAACCATGCATTTGAAACATTTGGCAGCAGCTGCAAAAGATGCAGTGGCTGAGGGAGGATCCATTCCTGGATCAAGAGCCAAATTGTGGCGTAGAATAAGAGAATTTAATGCATGCATTCCATATGGTGGAGTGCCACATAATATTGAAGTACCTGAGGTCACATTAATGGCTTTGATCACAATGCTTCCAGCTGCTCCAAATCTTCCACCTGAGTCACCTCCTTTGCCACCTCCTTCTCCTAAAGCAGCTGCTACTGTGATGGGTTTCATTGCATGTTTGCGCAGGTTGCTTGGATCAAGGAGTGCTGCTTCTCATGTGATGTCTTTTCCAGCTGCAGTGGGACGAATAATGGGTCTCCTTAGAAATGGCTCTGAGGGTGTAGCTGGTGAAACTTCAGCGTTAATTGCTATACTTGTTGGTGGCGGTCCTGGGGAAACAAATGTACAAACAGACACAAAAGGGGAAAGGCATGCAACAGTAATGCATACCAAATCTGTGTTGTTTGCTCAACCAAGTAATCTTATAATCCTTGTGAACAGGATAAAGCCTATTTCTGTATCACCATTATTGTCAATGTCTATAGTAGAGGTTCTTGAGGCAATGATTTGTGAACCACACGGCGAGACAACTCAATATACGGTGTTTGTGGAATTATTACGTCTAGTAGCTGGGTTACGCCGTCGCCTGTTTGCTCTGTTTGGACATCCTGCAGAAAGTGTGCGTGAAGCGGTGGCTGTCATTATGCGTACAATTGCTGAAGAAGATGCTGTTGCAGCTGAATCTATGCGTGATGCTGCTTTACGAGATGGTGCATTGCTGAGGCATTTGTTGCATGCATTTTATCTTCCTGCTGGTGAGCGGCGCGAAGTCAGTCGGCAACTTGTGGCTCTTTGGGCTGATTCTTATCAACCTGCTCTTGATTTGTTATCTAGAGTTTTACCTCCTGGCCTTGTTGCGTATTTACACACAAGGTCTGCTACAAATTCAATGGAAGATTTATCTAATCAGGATGGCTCATTACTGAGCAGGAGACAGAGACGTCTTCTTCAGCAGAGGAGGATCCATCCTGGAAAGGGAATCACATCTAATGGACATCCTTTGCCTTCTGTTAATAACTATGGAGTTGGTAATCAACCACAGCACACTAGTGCTGTTCCTTTCAGAAGTCAAGATGGTTATCAAAAGGCTGCTGTAGAACCAACTCCTGGGCAGATACCGCCAATGCATTCTTCTGCAGGTAATGTAGGTGAAAGCATCCGAACTGAGGCATCCACTATTGGTCTCCTGCAAAATGAACAGTCTGCAGTTCTTTCTTCTGGTGATGCTCCTTCAACAAGTACATATGAATCAGTAGAACCGAATTCTGCAATTGTGGCTAGTTCTGATGCAAGCATGGTTTCTCAGAATGCAGGGCTTCCAGCTCCTGCTCAGGTAGTTGTAGAAGATGCAACGGTGGGATGTGGAAGGTTATTATTGAATTGGCCTGAGTTTTGGAGAGCCTTTAGCCTTGATCACAACCGTGCAGATTTAATTTGGAATGAGCGCACTCGGCAGGAATTAAGAGAAGCATTGCAGGCTGAGGTTCATAATCTAGATGTTGAGAAGGAACGCACAGAGGATATTGTACCTGGTGCTGCAACTCGAGAGTCAATGACAGTCCAAGATGGTGTGCCTCAAATTTCCTGGAACTACACTGAGTTCTCTGTTAGATATCCTAGCTTATCAAAAGAAGTTTGTGTCGGTCAGTATTATCTTCGCCTGTTGCTTGAGAGTGGTAGTAGTGGAAGAGCAGAAGATTTCCCCCTTCGTGATCCAGTTGCTTTTTTTAGAGCTCTGTATCATCGCTTCCTTTGTGATGCAGATACAGGCCTTACTGTAGATGGGGCTATTCCAGATGAAATGGGTGCCTCTGATAATTGGTGTGATATGGGAAGGTTGGATGGTTTTGGAGGAGTGGGAGGCTCCTCAGTTAGGGAGCTTTGTGCCCGAGCAATGGCAATTGTATATGAGCAGCACTACAGCACTGTAGGTCCATTTGAAGGTGCTGCACACATTACAGTGCTCTTGGACAGGACTGATGATAGAGCTCTGCGACACCGTCTTCTTCTTCTCCTCAAGGTTTATACGAATTACTTTATTCTCCCTCTTGATTTTTTTGCTTCAAATACTACTGTGCTTGCTAATGTGAATATGCAAATGGAATGCGTGATCATTTTTCCTGCTAAATGTGTCAGTTTTGGAATTTTTAAGGATGCATCTATAGCATGGTGGTTTTAATTAAGTATAGCATCTGAAAGATGGAATCTTATTCTAAATCTTGAAAGGCAGTTGTGAGTTGCCTCCATTAAAAAGTTATAGAACATAGAAGCTGTGGTAAAAATCTGCTCTATCCTTCTCTTTGTAAAAGTTGAAAATTAAAAATGAAAAAGTTCTAAACAATGTGCCTTCCCATCCTTGCTTGCATTGTTCTGCTATTCTGGTTGGTAGTGGTAATTGTTGTCCCTACTACTACCAGAGGCAAAGCCAAATAATTTGAGTGTTTATATTAAGTGTTTGTGGTGAAACAATGAACTTACTGCAGACAATGCTCTTCTGTTTAAAATAGAAAAAATAAGGAAAGTTAAAAAACAATGTGCTACTCTCTTGTCTCCATGGGTTCTTTTGTATGCTGGATGATAGTTGTTTTTGTGTCTACTCATGGTAAAAATGAGCTCCAAGAGTTATGAAACCTTTCTCTTAATTTTGTTGAGTGAGATTTGAGAGTTTGAAATTATATTTGGGACCTTTCTTTTTCCTTCAATTTTTGATATATTGCATTGCTTTTATTTGCTCTATGCTGAAATGACTTAGGTAACTTTAATTTGACCTGGGGCTGTTTCTTTTTCTGAATGAAATACTTTTCCTTTTTGCAGGTATTGATGAACGTTTTGTCCAATATAGAGGCATGTGTATTGGTTGGTGGTTGTGTACTAGCTGTTGATCTGCTAACTGTAGTTCATGAAGCTTCAGAGAGAACTGCTATACCTTTGCAGTCGAACTTAATAGCTGCTACTGCTTTTATGGAGCCATTGAAGGAATGGATGTATGTTAACAAGGATGGTGCACAAGTTGGACCAGTGGAGAAGGATGCTATTAGAAGATTCTGGTCAAAGAAGGAAATAGATTGGACCACAAAGTGTTGGGCTTCTGGGATGACTGATTGGAAGCGACTGCGAGATATTCGAGAGCTTAGATGGGCACTTGCTGTCCGAGTACCTGTTCTCACTCCAACACAGGTAACCTATGATTGATATAATATTGCTCTTGTTCATTGTAGAGAGCTGTATGTTATAGATTTTTTCTTCTGGATATGTGTGGGTGTGATTTATGTACATACATGCTTGCATATAGACATACTTACATCTGTACACACACACATTATATTTATCTAGTACAAGTAGTAATTTAATCTGAAATTTTTGACATTCCAGGTTGGAGATGCAGCATTATCCATATTGCATAGCATGGTGGCCTCACACTCAGACATAGATGATGCTGGGGAGATAGTCACACCAACACCCAGGGTCAAGCGGATCTTATCAAGCCCAAGGTGTCTTCCCCATATTGCACAGGTTTTATTCATTTTCTCATCAATCTTTTTCTTATCGGAGTTGTTTCTGATGCCGATTTACATTTTGAGCTCTATTTTTGACAAGTGTGTTTGTGTTTGCTTCCTCATGTTTTGAGGCCATTGCTGTCTTGAATGGTAAAAACTGATATAGGAATGTTGATTTTATTTTATTTCCAAATGTGATTTGTAGGCCATGCTTTCTGGTGAGCCAAGTGTTGTAGAGAGTGCTGCTGCTTTGTTGAAGGCTGTTGTTACTAGGAATCCAAAAGCAATGATAAAACTGTACAGTACTGGAGCTTTCTTTTTTGCACTAGCATATCCTGGATCCAATCTCCTTTCAATTGCTCATCTATTCTCAGTGACTCACGTTCACCAAGCTTTTCATGGTGGGGAAGAAGCAGCACTGTCCTCTTCTTTGCCTTTGGCAAAACGCAGTGTTTTGGGTGGACTTTTACCTGAATCCTTGCTTTATGTATTGGAACGTAGTGGTCCAGCTGCATTTGCTGCAGCAATGGTTTCTGATTCTGATACTCCTGAGATCATCTGGACACACAAAATGCGAGCTGAAAATCTTATCCGTCAGGTAGGTTCAAATACTTAATTGGAGAAGATGCGAAAATGCTTGCTTTTGTGACAAACACTCATTTTACTTTATGATGGTTCCCCAGTTTGCCACTGCTAAGCTAAGTTTGCGGTCACTCTGTTCAGGTTCTGCAGCACCTTGGTGATTATCCCCAGAAACTATCCCAACATTGTCATTCTCTATATGAATATGCTCCAATGCCACCAGTGACGTACCCAGAACTGAAAGATGAAATGTGGTGCCACCGCTATTATCTTCGGAATTTATGTGATGAAGTTCGATTTCCTAATTGGCCTATTGTTGAGCATGTTGAATTTCTGCAGTCGTTGCTGGTCATGTGGCGTGAAGAGTTAACGCGTAGGCCCATGGATCTTTCTGAAGAAGAGGCTTGTAAAATATTGGAGATTTCCTTAGATGAGGTATCACGAGATGCTGCTGCTAAGAAACAATCACATGAGATTCCTAATATCTCAAAACAGATTGAGAACATTGATGAAGAGAAGCTCAAGCGCCAATACAGAAAACTTGCAATGAAATATCATCCAGATAAAAATCCTGAAGGGAGGGAAAAGTTTCTGGCTGTGCAGAAAGCCTATGAGCGATTGCAGGTTGGCACTTTCTCATGGTTTACACTAACCAATAGTTATTTTTGCCAACTTTAAAAATCTGAACTTTAAATCTGGAGGGAAGTTGAATACTGGGGCCCGCATGGGTAGCTCAACTGGTCATAGAGGTGAAACTTTGGAAGAATGACTAGGGATCGAGTCTTGTTAAGTGTTGAAACACAAGAAACAGTGTATACTCTCATATATTTCTGTACAAGAGAACTCCTATTTATACAAAGGTTGGAAGAGCTCCAGCCACAGGATTTGAAATTCAAACAAGAGAAAAACCACCTAACTCTAACTAACCCTTATTCATCTAACACTCCCCCTCAAGCTGGAGCATAGATGTTAATCATGCCCAGCTTGTTACAAATATACTCAACCCTAGCTCTACAGAGGCCTTTTGTAAGCACATCCGCTAGCTGATCACCAGTTCGGACATGGACAGCAGAAAGTAGCCCTTGTTGAATCTTGTCCCGCACAAAGTGACAATCTACCTCAATATGTTTCGTGCGCTCATGAAACACAGGATTGCTCGAAATGTGTATAGCGGCTTTGTTGTCACACCATAAAGGAACTGGTTTACTCACTTCTACACCAGTCTCACCAAGGATATTACACAACCACGTCACCTCACACGCCACATGAGCCATTGCTCTATACTCAGATTCTGCACTAGAGCGGGCCACAACACTTTGCTTCTTACTTTTCCACGACACTAGGTTGCCACCAAGGAACACACAATACCCCGTCGTTGACCTCCTGTCACTCGGTGACCCAGCCCAATCAGCGTCAGAGAAGGCCTCAACCCTCACATGCCCATGATTGGCATACAAAATTCCTTTCCCAGGAGCGCCCTTCAAATACTTCACAACTCGAACTGCAGCTTCCCAATGGATTTTCTCCGGATTTGCCATGAACTGACTCACCACACTCACCGGAAAGGCAATATCCGGGCGAGTGATAGTAAGGTAATTCAATTTCCCCACCAATCTCCTATACCGCTCTGGATCTTCAAGAGGCTCCCCCTCACCGGCTACAAGCTTAACACTCTGGTCCATAGGAGTCTCGCAAGGCTTCGAGCCTAAGAGCCCAGAGTCTTCAAGTAAATCTAGCACATATTTCCGTTGTGAAAGAAATATGCCTCTCTTAGAACGGACAACCTCTATTCCAAGGAAGTACTTTAGCACTCCCAGGTCTTTCGTATGAAACTTCTTCTTAAGAAAAGACTTGAGCGCATCAATTCCCGCTGCATCACCACCTGTGATTACTATATCATCCACATAGACAATTAACAAAATGCTGCCACGGTTAGAATGTTTATAAAAAACAGTATGATCATAGGCACTACGCTGCATGCCAAACTCAATAACAACACTACTGAACCTCCCAAACCACGCTCTGGGAGACTGTCTTAACCCGTACAAAGACTTCTTCAACTTGCAAACCTTCTCGTTCTCCCCCTGAGCAACAAACCCAGGCGGTTGCTCCATATACACTTCCTCTGCCAAATCACCATGTAAAAAGGCATTTTTGACATCTAACTGGTGTAACGGCCAATCATTAACAGCAGCTAGAGAAATGAAAACCCGCACAGAAGTTAACTTAGCAACCGGTGAAAAAGTCTCCATATAATCAACTCCATAAGTCTGCGCATACCCTTTCGCCACCAACCGTGCTTTAAGCCGAGCAACCGAACCATCAGGGTTCGTCTTGACAACGTAAACCCACTTACACCCAATTGCCGACTTCCCGACGGGGAGATGGACAAGATCCCAAGTCTGATTCTCTTCTAGGGCTGCCATTTCTTCCTCCATAGCAGATTTCCACCCATCATGAGACATAGCCTGACACAACGTTTTAGGGATAGACACAGAATCTAGTTTGGATATAAAGGTACGAGAAGACTCTGACAGACGACCATAAAAAACATAGGAAGAAAGCGGATGACAGCAACTACGTTTACCTTTTCGAACGGCAATTGGAAGATCAGTTGACGGAGGTTGTGGTAAGGGAGGAGCATTCGCCGTTGGCGCCACTACATCTCGGGGCCGCCTAGAATACACTTGCGTAACGGGAGGTACGACACCAGAATCAGGACCCACTGTGGGTACAGGAATAGTGATAGTATAAGTAAGAAAATCCCCTTCTATCCCCGACGACTTATCCCCGGGAACGCTATCAGAGAACACAGTTTCCTCAAAGAACGTGACGTCAGCCGAAACCAGATATCTCCCCAAATCAGGAGAGTAACACCTATACCCTTTTTGAGTTCGAGAATACCCCAGGAAGATACACTTAAGAGATTTAGGATCAAGTTTTCCCTTTAGTGGACGAACATCCCGTACAAAGCACGTACAACCAAAAATCTTGGGGGACAGGGCAAACAAAGGTTTGGAGGGATACACAACTGAATATGGGTTTTGACCACGGAGTACAGAGGAAGGCATCCTGTTGATAACGAAACAAGCAGTGTGAACAGCATCTGTCCAAAACACTTTAGGCACTTTCATTTGGAATAAAAGGGCACGAGCAACTTCTAACAAGTGGCGGTTTTTTCTTTCCGCGACACCATTCTGTTGGGGGGTGTAAACACAGGAAGTTTGATGTATGATACCATTTTGACTCATAAAGGTAGAAAAGGACTTAAGAAGATACTCTCGAGCATTATCACTTCTCAAACATTGTATAGTCTTATTAAACTGAGTTTTCACTTCAGCACAGAAGCTTTGGAAAACATCAAACAATTCACCCCTAGACTTCATGAGATACAACCAAGTACACCTAGAGAAGTCATCAACAAAAGTTACAAAATACCGAAAACCATGTTTGGACGTAACCCGACACGGACCCCAAACATCAGAATGAACTAACTCGAATAAAGAATCTACTCTATTATTTACCCGAGAAACATAAGGAACACGATGGTGTTTTGCAAACTCACACGACTCGCACTGCAAGATAGTCAAAGCCTCTAAACCAGGACACATCTTCTTGAGCGCTGGTAAAGACGGGTGGCCAAACCGACAGTGCAATTGAAAGGGGGAAACGTTGCTCACCAAACCAGTAGAGACGTTCTCGAGTGATGTAGATTGCTCTAAGACATACAGACCGTCAACCTCCTTCCCCTTACCAATAATCCTCCTCGTCAAAAGATCCTGGAACAGACAATAACCAGGAAAAAACGTAACAGAACATTTCAGGTTACGAGTTATTTGACTAATCGAGAGTAAGTTGAAGGGAAATTTTGGGAGGTATAACACAGAAGCAAGGGGTAATGAGGACGTTGCAACGGCACTACCTTTACCCGAAACAGTGGCTATAGACCCATCTGCTAGAGTAACGGTATGACTAGAAGTGACAGGCAAATATGTAGAAAGAACATTGTAATTACCTGTCATATGCTCAGAAGCCCCTGAGTCAATGACCCACTGTCGAGGCGCAGAAGAAACACACGCAACTGAATTACCTGTTTGGACAAACGTTGCGGAGGTAGGCACTTGACTGGATGGAAACTGCGAGGAAGAAGAAAGCTTCATCTGATTGAATCTAGCAAACTCCTCATCCGTCATCACCACTGTATGACCTTCTGACGTGGAAGCCGTATTAGCAGCCATTTGTTGTCTCGGCGGCTTAGGACACTGATTTCGAAAGTGTCCGGGATCCCCACAATTAAAACAAACTCGTGGGCCTCCCACGTCCTCCACGACCTCTCCAGGAACCCCCGCGCCCTCTGGAGCGGTTATTACCCCCTCCTCGAGAACCATAGCCATAGTTATCACCGGTACTTCCCCCTTGGGCTACCAGAGCATTTGAATCCATATTACCCTGTGACATAAGGGCATTTCTCTCCTGGAGCTCGTTTGAATCATTATTTCCTGATGCATTTTGTAGCATAGAAAATACTTGATCCAAAGACTCTAAATCCTTATTTCCTAGCAGTTGGGATCTAATAACATCATATTCTTTATCCAGACCAGCAATCCAACTAAACACAAGTAATCGGTCACGTTGTTTTGTCATTTCACCCACATCATTTGTTATAGGCATAGCAGCACACAAAGCAACAGAAATACTCTTAAAATCATAATAGTAATCTCTAAGTTCACGTCCCTTTTGACTAGACCGATATGCTTCCTGAGATAATTGGTATAACTTTCTCAAGTTACTAGTTCCACTAAACCATTTGTTCACTAAATCCCATACTTCTTTAACCGTTTGGCAGTGTTGCATAGATAAAATAATTCTCCTATCAATGCAATTAATTACACGTGACATTAATGCTTTATCAGTGGTTTTCCAGTCCTCAGCTGTAGCACCTGTAGGACACTCTTTTTCCAAATGATCACCCTTCCCCATACCATCTAAATTTACTTTAACCAAAAACTTCCATTCAGGAAAATTAGACCCATCCGGAGCCAAAACTATATCAATTAATTTAGACGGTGTGGAGATAACAGTGATATTCCTCTCTTGTGCCATTCTAACCCTTTACCCAACACAACCAAAGGCCTAAACAGCACACCAACGAAAACAGAAAAAACTTAATGGTACCAACCTCACGCAGTAAGCAGAACAGCCCCAACCTTCACAGTGCCTGTACCCGAAGACACAACCAGACTTCAACACCTCCAGATTTCAACACCTCCCACCTCCTAGAACTCAGCACGACGAGGCGAGACTGGAGCAGGAAAAATCGACCGGCGAAGTCGCCGGAAACCGCCTCACGCGCCGGCGCGTGGCGTCGGAGCTGCTCGGCGACGGCGGCGCGTGAGGGCGCGTGGCTGCACTGACGGCGGCCGGACTTCTTGGCGCAGCGTCGCACGTCCTCCCTCGACCTAGCCCAGGCACTCACTCTCACTAACTCAGCTCTGATACCATGTTAAGTGTTGAAACACAAGAAACAGTGTATACTCTCATATATTTCTGTACAAGAGAACTCCTATTTATACAAAGGTTGGAAGAGCTCCAGCCACAGGATTTGAAATTCAAACAAGAGAAAAACCACCTAACTCTAACTAACCCTTATTCATCTAACAAGTCTCACCAGCGGCAGTGTGGGAGCAACCTCTCAAAGTGAGGGGGGTTCCTTGTGCGCAGTGAGCATCGGTCTAGCCTCTGTGATTCATGTTCAGTTGAGTCACCATGATTTACATCCTCCCAAATGCTCTGTCGGGCCGGGGTGTGGGGGGGCCTTAGGGTTGGGGTTCAACCTGGAAGAATGATTGATAAAAAGTCCAACATAACCCATATATTGAATCGGTACGCAAATTATTTAAAAATTCAAATCACAATACTGGGATCTGGTGAATGATGAAATTATCAATTTGACCCAAGTATGCCTATAAAATCTCTTTTTACTAGAAATTCACAGAAAACTTCATATCTTGAGAAGTCATTGGTATTCAAACATTTCAAATTTGATGATGGCGTAGTTACTATTTATGAAATAGAAGTTCTATGAGGAATAAAATAGAGGAATATCAAAATACTAAGAAAACACCTAAAATTTGAGGAAACTATAGAAAGCTATTATGAGACAATCATAATAGTTCATAGGCCATAGAGTATTATGACAGACCAAATTACTTAGCAAATAAATATAGACTATAATAAATTTCTTCTACCTCACGTTTTTCTTTTCTTTTATTGGGGGAAATTGCATTTTTGGTCCTTGAGTTATGCACAACTAGTTGTTTAAGTTTTTGGATGTCCACTTTTGTAAATATAGTCCCCCTACAATGTTGGTTTATTTTGTTCTTCACACTAATGTCTCCGCATTTTTTGTTTGCCTTTGGGCTTAACTTCTCCAAAATTGTACTCAACCTTGACCAGTTTAGGGATTGTTTGGTGGAGGCAAATGGAAGACAAAGGCAAAGGACAAAAAAGCAACATTGAGGGCTAAAAACACAATATTGTGACATAACTAAGGACTATAATTAAAAAGTAGACCAATAGGGACTGAAATGACTAATTGTGCACAACTTGGGACAAAAAAATGCACTAATCCTTTTTTTTTTTTTTTTCTTCTCCTAACCAGTAGTTTCTATGGTCAAGTTGTATAGCGTTTTTGTTTGAATTGTAACTTCTCTTGCCGCTCATGCACTTCGATGCTTGTGCTTTTGACCTATTTATTAGATTATGTGTTTTTGACAAACTTACAAAATGCTTTGAAACATATTTTATATAATAATCAAATTAAAAATTCATATATTTCCTTTAGTTAAGCTAAAGCTTGCAGCACTGCCTCTGGTTATATTGAAAACATATTTGGCTCATCAAGTTTATTTGGCATTCTAGAATATGTATTCTAAAGATGTGTGGCTTAGGTTTTCACTGCTAGCTCCTGAGTTCGAGCCTTGGAAACAACTCTTTGAATACAAAGTTTGTGTATATCCCTTGCATAATTCAGGTCTTTTTATTCACTGGGTCAGACCTTTTATGTTGCTATTTGCATGTTATGGATGGCTAATTTATACCTTTCGTCTCCGCTCTCCAACTTATGAGTTGATCATCTTTTGCTAGGCTACAATGCAAGGGCTGCAAGGCCCGCAACCTTGGAGGTTATTGCTTTTACTGAAGGGACAGTGCATTTTATATAGACGCTATGGGAATGTATTGGAGCCATTTAAATATGCTGGGTACCCTATGCTATTAAATGCAATCACAGTAGATAATGATGAAAGCAATTTTCTTTCATCTGATCGAACACCGCTTCTTGTTGCGGCCTCAGAACTGATATGGCTGACGTAAGTACCATGCTAGCTATTGACTTTGTGTCATCTCTGCTTTCCTTCAAGTTTCACAAATAAGTATTTTGAACTTTGATTTAGGTGTGCATCTTCTTCACTGAATGGTGAAGAGCTAGTAAGAGATGGTGGAATAAAACTACTTGCGAATCTTCTTTCCCGTTGCATGTGTGTAGTTCAACCATCTACCCCTGCAAGTGAACCATCAACTGTCATCATTACAAATGTGATGCAAACATTTTCAGTTTTAAGTCGTTTCGAGAGTGCCAGAGCTGAAATTCTTGAATATTCTGGACTAGTTGATGACATTGTACATTGCACTGAACTTGAGCTCGTTCCAGCTGCTGTTGATGCTGCTCTTCAGACCATTGCTCATGTCTCGGTGGACTGTGTCTTTCAAGATGCCTTACTTAAAGCTGGGGTCTTGTGGTAAGATAAATTTTCAGATCTTCAAGCCTATGTGGCCTGTGTTAATTAAGATAATAAGTAGAATGTTTCCGTCTTTTTCTTTTCATTCAAGACTCTTGAGAGGCTCTATGTGGATTTCTAAACTTCTGATTCGAGTTCTATACAACAAAACTAAAATAGTCGCTTATATCACCATTTCTTTCTTTATATTTCCTTTCCCTGAGTTGTTTGTCCTCATAGTTGACACCTTTTCACTTAGTTTTCTTCCTGAGAAGCGCCTCTATTATTCCAAGAACTCTTATTTATAGCCTGATATTACAGTGACTGGCACCGAGAAGACCTTTAAAAAGAGTAAAACCACTTATGCTTCTCAGCCATGCACTTTGAGGATTTATAGAACCTGGTTTAGGTTTAGTTGCACCCATTCTATCATGATTTGTTATTGTTCTGTATTTTGTAACCAGTAGTCAAATATGTTATGTACTTGGGTATTGATTGGTGCCAGTATGGCCCAGGTGGAGCTTATTGTAAAAGAGCTTTTCTGAAAAGCTTCAATTGTGAAGCTGCTTGAAAAGGGCCTTTTGCCTCTCATTTGGCTATAAAAGCATTTGTATTGGCATAGCTTATGTTTTCTGGAGTAGATAAGCTCCAATAAGCTCTAGGCCAGACAAACACTCAGTAGTTATGTTATCTGGGTTACGCATTATTTTCCCTATGGTCATGGAATACGGAACTGATGTTATGGTGTTAACTTTGCTTTAGGTATCTATTACCGCTGTTGCTTCAGTATGATTCAACTGCTGAGGAATCAGATAAGTCAGAAGCCCATGGTGTTGGTGAAAGTGTTCAGATTGCCAAGAATTTGCATGCTAAACGGGCAGCTCAGGCATTATCAAGGCTTAGTGGTTTGGCTACTGGAGAGAATCCGACTCCCTATAATGAGGCTGCAGCTGACGCCCTTAAAGCTCTGCTGACACCAAAACTTGCAAGTATGTTGAAAGATCAATCACCCAAAGACTTACTGTCTAAACTAAATACGAACTTGGAGAACCCTGAGGTAATTGCTATAGATCTCGTGACTGTATTTAATGCCCAAAATGGATTTTCTCCATTCAATAAATTTCATTAAATTAATGTCATTTAGATTGCCTCTGAGAGACTTCAGGTGGCATGAAATTTCCATTTGGAACCTAATCCTTAATTTAGTTACACTGTACTTCTGATGTGCCTTTTATTCCTGATTGTAGATCATATGGAACTCTTCAACGCGAGCAGAACTATTAAAATTTGTTGATCAGCAGCGTGCAAGCCAGGGACCTGATGGTTCATATGACTTGAAAGATTCACATTCCTTTGCATATGAAATACTGTCAAAAGAACTGTTTGTTGGACATGTGTACTTGAGAGTCTATAATGATCAACCAGATTATGAAGTCAGTGAACCCGAGGCATTCTCTGTTGCTCTTGTTGATTTCATATCATGTCTAGTCAGTAGCCAGGTTGCTGTAGGGTCAAATGTTCCACTGAGTTCCCCATCCCCTAAGACACCTGAGTTTGAAATTGATGAAACAAATGAATTATCTGATGAGCAGAACTTGCCTGATAATAATCCTTCATCACCCTCTGGTGGGAAAGTGATGAAAGAGGAGGAATTCGAATTAATTAAGAATCTTCAGTTTGCTCTGGTTGCCCTTCAGGTACAAGTTTCAATTATTTGCTTTATGGTAAGATATATTAATATTAATTTGGGATTTATAATATTTTTATTTCCTTTTCCCAGCATCTGTTGACTGGAAAACCGGATTTGGCATCAGTTTTTGCTGCAAATGAAAAGTTATTACCACTTTTTGAGTGCTTCTCTGTTCCTATTGCTTCGGCAACCAATATTCCTCAACTTTGTTTAAGTGTGCTTTCACGCTTGACGACACATGCTCCCTGCTTGAAGGCAATTGTTGCTGATGAATCTAGTCTTCTCCTTTTATTGCAAATGCTACACTCCTCACCAAATTGCCGTGAAGGAGCTCTCCATGTTCTTTATGCCTTAGCAAGCACGCCAGAGCTTGCATGGTCAGCAGCCAAGCATGGTGGAGTGGTCTACATTCTAGAACTACTCCTTCCTTTGCAAAGTAAGTTGTTGTTTTTTGCTTCTCATCCATGTTGAAAATCCCACTGTATTTACAATGTCAAATGATATTCTGCAGAAGAAGTTCCTCTACGGCAAAGAGCGGCAGCTGCCTCATTACTGGGGAAGCTTGTTGGGCAGCCAATGCATGGTCCTAGAGTGGCAATAACGCTGGCTAGGTTTCTGCCTGATGGCCTGGTATCTGTCATCAGGGATGGACCTGGTGAAGCTGTTGTGGGTGCACTTGATCAAACAACAGAGACTCCAGAACTTGTGTGGACCCCAGCAATGGCTGCTTCATTGTCTGCTCAAGTTGCAACCATGGCATCTGACCTACATCGTGAACAGATGAAAGGTCGTGTTGTTGATTGGGATGTACCTGAGCAGGCATCTGGCCATCAGGATATGAGAGACGAACCTCAGGTGTTGTTTGGTGTAGGCCTTATTGTGAATTGTTGAGCAATGTTTTTTCTGTTTTTGACTATAATCTCTTTGCACTGCAGGTTGGGGGAATCTATGTTAGGTTATTCCTAAAGGATCCAAAGTTTCCTCTTAGAAATCCAAAGAGATTTTTGGAAGGACTACTAGATCAATATCTATCATCCATTGCTGCCACACACTATGATGCCCAATCTGTTGACCCTGAACTACCTCTGCTTTTATCTGCAGCATTGGTGTCCTTATTACGAGTACACCCTGCTCTTGCAGATCATGTCGGATATCTTGGATATGTGCCCAAACTTGTGTCTGCAGTGGCATATGAAAGCAGAAGAGAAACTATGGCATTTGAAGAGGTGAAAGATGCTGATCATTCGAATGAAGCATGTGAACCAGAGGATGGTTCTGCAAAGCTCCCATCACCAACTCCACAAGAGCGTGTCCGTCTTAGTTGCTTACGAGTCTTGCATCAACTTGCAGCTAGTACAACATGTGCCGAAGCTATGGCTGCAACTAGTGCAGGAACACCTCAGGTATATTTACTAATATAGAACTCCAAACAGATCCAGTGATTTTGGTTTATTTGAGTTTAGCTGGTTAGGGCATTCTTTTGCCATTTATTTATTTTATGTTTACAATGTGCGTTTGGTAGGTCGCTTTTGAAATTTGAAATTTGAAATTTAATTTTATCTTCATCAGGTTGTTCCTCTCTTGATGAAAGCCATTGGATGGCTAGGTGGAAGCATTCTGGCCCTTGAAACGCTAAAACGTGTGGTTAGTGCAGGAAATCGAGCAAGGGATGCTTTGGTTGCTCAAGGACTCAAGTGAGTATATGCTCTATGGATTCTCAATGATAGCTAGATTTCTCATGTGTATGCCTTAAACTATCTCATCTTCATGTGCATTACTTTGTTTTTTCTTATACTTGCTGCTTCTGGAAATGGGTATGAAATGCCAGGTAACTCTGTATGGCAAGCATAAAATTGATATTCATGCTATTATTGCATATAGTGACATATTTCCTGTTAAGTAAATTATTTAATTTGTAGATTGACATCAGGTTTACAATAGGTTTATGCTTGACCAAGTTAGGATTGGGGACATGTTTCACATGTAACCACTGATTATATTCACATGTAACCACTGATAGCGTAATACTTAAATACAAATTGTATTGCCAATTCTTCAAAGTGTTAAGTTATGTTGCTCTTCCATCTTGTTTGGTTATTGATAAGCTATTCAATCCCTTTAGGGCTGGTCTTGTTGATATACTTCTTGCTCTTCTGGATTGGAGAGCGGGGGGAAGAAATGGACTATGCTCTCAGATGAAGTGGAATGAGTCTGAAGCATCCATCGGCCGAGTACTTGCAATTGAGGTGCGTAGATTTAGATTGTAGGATTGCATCTGTATGGTTCATGGTCCATTTGTATAGTAGAAATGTCCATAACTATTTCCTCACAAATGGGTATCTCTTCTTTAAGATATTCATGCATTTTTGTGTTTCTGATTTCTGGTCCCATAAGTGGGTCTTATATTATTTGTAGAAGATGGATCATTTTCTCTTTCATGGACCACATTTTTAACTTGCTTGTAGTACTGAGACCATATGTGACTGCTTTTTCTTTTGAGTATATTTAATTATTTATACAATCCGTATTTTTGTTCACTCCATTGCAACTACACTTTTAATCTTGTATACAGCAATTTCCTAGTGCAGCTCATGCCTGTTAAGTTTATGCTGTTTTGTGTATATCCAGGTTTTGCATGCCTTTGCAGCGGAAGGGGCACATTGTATGAAAGTACGGGACATACTAAATGCCTCTGATGTAAGTGATTCGAGCATGCTAGTTTTTATTCTCTCCCACATTTCTCAGTTTCTCGAGATCTTGACTGCTTGTTGCTTGTTTTCACTTTTCAAAGGTTTAGAGAGTTTCACATGAATTATAATTTGTGTTCATAAATGTCAACTGAGCGGAATATAAAAATGATTGTCATATGGTCTCAATCAGCTCATAAATCAATCATTTGAACTAATTTTCATGGCTAGGTGTGGAGTGCATACAAAAATCAGAAACACGATCTTTTCCTTCCTTCAAATGCTCAATCTGCTGCTGCTGGAGTTGCTGGTCTTATTGAAAATTCCTCATCAGGGCTCACATATGCACTCACTGCTTCCCCAAGTGCTCAATCCAGACCTCCTGCCATAGCTACATCTGAATCAAACGGGGATTGAAGCAGTTACTTCATCATATATAATGAGTCATCAACGAACACTCACTCAATTGCTTGCTCGAAAATTAAAGGTACGACTACTTGGTTTTGATTTGATCGATTCACTAAATCTCCACCCACAAAAACAACACTACACTGAAAAGGTTTTAGTTTCTCCTACCTGTTGCAGCATCCTCTTCAAAAATGAACACAGTTTGTATAGAAGAATTTTGTACAGTCTAGTCAGTCTCTCAATGTGTCTCTTTCGCGTTCCAGAAGTAGACCAAATTGAAGGGTTGTTTGGTGCAACCTTTCCTGTTTAATTTTTTTTATTTTTTTTTTTTTTTGATGTAAAGAGAAATTGTGATCTGTAAATCACATGCCTATGCTAGTAAGAAATATGTGCAGTGATGGGTGGATGGATGGATGTTATTGTTTTCTGCTGAGTTGCAAATTTTCTACTAATAATGGAGCCTTTTTTTGGGTTGAGATATGCCTGTTCTTGCTTCCTGTTATCTAATTTCTTTCTTCAATTCTTCATAAATCATAAGAACCGCTTGAGATGCTAATTTCACTTTTGTAGCACGTTTTAGTGGCACTTTCACTAATAATGGTGCACCACTTTAGCAATTGTTATTATTGATGCATGATTTTTTATTTTTTTTTCATTTCTGGTTCTTTTGGCAAATACATTTACAATAATCCACTGGAATTTATCATGCATTGCAACTGGCTAAATAACACGGACAAAAAAGTTCGACTACAGTCTACAGCTAATCACTTTTTATAAGGGCATCTCCAATCAAAGAGGAGAGGAAGTGGGAAAATTTGTTGGAGGTGTCAAATACTTTTTTTTTTTTTTTTTTTTTTTTTTTTTTTTTTTTTTTTTTTTGTGAATAAAGACATTGTAGACACATAATTCTAAATTAAAGAAATGCATATGTATGTATTATTTTTTGTTGTTTACCACTCATCTTTCTCAATTTGGTCCTTTCATTTGGCATTCTATTATTTTGCATTGTATTGAACGTTTAATTTAATAAGGCGTTTTTGTTGGTTTTCAAAAAATAAAATAAAAAATACCTTTCTTATTGAAATCAATAAGTTAACCGAGAATATAATTTTAAGGAAACTTTGATTGTGATGGGGTTCGAACTTAAGACTTTTCTTATTGAAATCATATAATTTATGATACATTTGGAAATCTAATGGAAAAAATAAAATCTGAATAATCTGAACCATTCATTTGATTTAATAATTTGACGGATATTTTTTCTACCCATTATAGACCTAATTCTTTTGGCTCTTATTAGTATACTGGTTTTTCTACGCGCTTTGCATGAATGAGATAATGCCTAATAATTATTTTAAAATAAGTATTTCAAAGTATCTCAATGCAATATTATATAGAAGACGTTCGTGCATAGGTAAATAAATGTTGAAATTGTTTATTTAAATCGGTAATTTAAAGTATATAAATGTAAGATAATATATGAGAAATTGATTATATAACTGTCACAAAAATAAATGTTTGTAACTTTGTAATAACGCTAGTCTCAGTACTTAGTCTAAAAGCGATAGTATAAATAAATACTACTTTTGATTTAAATTTCTCTAATTTTCCTTTTGGTAGCATTGTCATTGTCTTCATCTTCAGTACATGTTCTTTTTTTTTTTTTTTCTTTTTTTTTTTCTTTTTTTTTATTGGTAGTGTGTCATGTGCAATTGAGTTATTGGTGGTAGCATAGATAAATTCATCATGCAATGGGATTACAGTGTAGGAAGCTATAGATTTGCCTTCTTGTGTATATGATTGTGATCTTAGTTGTGCTATTAACTCTTTATCTTACAAACACATGTTGATATTTGGCAGTAGTAGTTTTTCCCGACATGTTTAATGTGTTGTGAGATGTGTGTTCATAGGTTATCATGCGAAAGTATTGAACAAAATATTAATCTTTATTATATTTGTATAAAATACTTGGTAAATAAATAAATAAATAAATAAATAAATAAATAAATATATATATATATATATATATATATATATATATATATATATATATATATATATATATATATATATATATATATATATATATATATATATATAGTGAAAGGATCAGGTGCATTTGTTGCTTCCCGTGCGGATGTGCGGTGGATTAATGTGCGTGAGATTTGTACACAATGTGTGTCAGTGTTGTGCTTTATGTGCCTGAGATTTGTACTTAATGTGCGTGCATGTGTAAAATGCAGCACAAAATATGGATGTCAGCTTCTTCCCCATCCCCAGTAGCCATTGCCCCCTCCCTGATGATGATGATGCGGAGGCGGGCTATGGTGGTTAAGAATTATGGGAATAATACAACATAAATCCACACTTAGCTGGTGTGCAAATTTTGTTGTGCGTGCATCATCTATATAAACATTCAACTGCACTGAAGGTAGCTGATAATCCAGAATCCATAGTCAAATTGAAGAAAGAAGTAACAAGAAGCCTGGGCGTTAATGTGCGTGAGTTTTCTGTTCTGCTTCCTTCTGAGCTCGTAATTCTGAACTACTCACGCACATTAAGCAGAAATCTCACGCATATTACGCATAATACTCAGGCACATTAAGTACAAAGCTCACGCATATTAACATTACGCACATTAAGTACAAATCTCAGGCACATTAAACAAAACTCTCACGCACATTAAGTATAAACCTCACGCACATTAATCCACCGCACACCGCACGGGAAGTAACAAATGCACCTGATCCCTTCCTATATATATATATATATATATATATATATATATATATATATATATATATATATATATATATATATATATACATATATATATATATATATATATATATATATATATATATATAGAAAGGTTCCCGTGCGGTTGTGCGGTGGATTAATGTGCGTGACATTTATACTTAATGTGCGTGAGTGTTGTGTTTAATGTGCTTGAGATTTGTACTTAATGTGCGTGAATGTGTAAAATGCAGCAGAAAATATGGATGTCAGCTTCTTCCCCATCCCCAGTAGCCATTGCCCCCTCCCTGATGATGATGATGCGGAGGCGGGCTATGGTGGTTAAGAATTATGGGAATAATACAACATAAAGCCACACTTAGCTGGTGTGCAAATTTTGTTGTGCGTGCATCATCTATATAAATATTCAACTGCACTGAAGGTAGCTGATAATCCAGAATCCATGGCCAAATTGAAGGAAGAAGTAACAAGAAACTTGGGCATTAATGTGCCTGAGTTTACTGTTCTGCTTCCTTTTGAGCTCGTAATTCTGAACTACTCACGCACATTAAGCACAAATTTCACGCATATTAAGCACAATAGTCAAACACATTAAGTACAAAGCTCACGCATATTAACATTACGCACATTAAGTACACATCTCAGGCATATTAAGCACAACACTCACGCACATTAAGTATAAACCTCACGCACATTAATCCACCGCACAACCGCACGGGAAGCCACAAATGCACCTGATCCCTTTCCTATATATATATATATATATATATATATATATATATATATATATATATATATATATATATATATATATATATATATATATATATATTGTTGAATTTGGAAGATGGAATGGCCTGGCGGGTGGAGAATAATACCACCCGCCAGTTAGGCGGAAGCAATATGAAGAATCAAGACTAGGAAATGAATATAAAACTGAAATTATATTGGTATTCTCCGTGTTTCTAATACAGAAACACAATACATATATATACACAAATACATAATTGTAAGTAACTACCCATAACTGACACCTATTCATAAACAGACACAACCCTATAGATAAACCTAACTCTTTAGTTTTCAATATATATATATATATATATATATATATATATATATATATATATATATATATATATATATATATATATATATATATATCGCACTTGTTGGTTCCTGCCATCACTTTTTCTGAACCGATTAGTTACTCTTGTACCTTGTAATTTGTAAATTCATTATTCAGTCACATATTATTTGCTCTCTGCAGGGCCAATCTGCAGTACCTACCCATAACTGACACATATTCATAAACAGACACAACCCTATAGATAAACCTAACCTTTTAGTTTTCAACACACACACACACACAGATATATATATATATATATATATATATATATATATATATATATATATATATATATATATATATATATATATATATAACATATTTTGTATTATAACTTTGATATTTAATTACAAGATAATATAAAAAGAAGACAATAGACAATGTACTGAATGGATGTTATTGTTTTCTGTGAGTTGCAAAATTTCTACTAATAATGGAGCCTTTCTTGGGGGTGAGATACGGCTATTCTTAGTTCTTACTTCTTGTTATCTAATTTCTTTCTTCAATTCTTCATAAGAGCCGCTTGAGATGCTAATTTCACTTTTGTACCACGTTTTAGTGGCACTTTCACTCATAATGGTGCACCACTTTAGAAACTCTTATTATTGATGAATGATTTTTATTTTTTATTTTTTCATTTCTGGTCATTTTGGCAAATACATTTACCATAATCCACTGGAATTTATCGTGCATTGCAAGTGGCTAAATAACACGGACAAAAAATTCGACTACAGCTAATAAACACGTACTTGTTTAACCAAATAGAAAGAGCGGAGAGAAAGGGGGAGAAAAGTCAGAATAATGTTGGAGGAGAGAGAAATTTTTCTTCCGAGAAAAGGGAGATTGGGATGTGAGCGCAAAATCAAATTTCAGCCGCTGAGGCTGAATTAAGCCTCACAATGATTAGTTTTGTCTAAAATAAAAATTAATCTGACACAAACTTTTTAAAATTCTTGCATTTATTATTATTATTATTTTTATGTTTCCATGAGGTTGCTTGTCAATATTTAGCTGACATGAAAACTTAATTTAAAAAAGGTTGTTGACATTAAATTTATTAAGGCTATAAATTAAAAGCAAGCAAATCTTTTAAGCTTCGTCTTCTCAAACCCATCTTCGACTTATTTTTTCAACTTCGTCTATTCATGATCGTATTAGCTTCGCACGTCTTCTTGGTCTGAAATGTCTTTATCACCGAAAAGTAGAAAATTCACTTCTAGTAGAATTGGAGTAGTATCACATCACCGAAAAGTGGAAAATTCACTTTTCAGGTGTTTGTAGCAATTCCACAATTTCCACTAAAAGGTGAAATTATATTATAATTCTACCTTCCGATGAAATTTGCGCCACCAGTTTTTGGTTGATTGAAACAATTTCTCCGAATGGTAGAATTATATTATAATTCCACCTTCCGGTGGAATTGGAGCCAACGAAAAGTGAAAAATTCACTTTTCGATGGATTGAAGTCATGTCAAGTAAAATATTATTTTGTTGGACGCCGTGTGTGTGTGTGCGCGCGTGCGTGCGTGCGTGTGTGTGGGGGTGGGGGATAGGGTTTCCCGTGCGCATTGCATCATTAGGTATGCATAAATGCACAACATTTAAAAATA